TGGTGGTGCTGGCACAGGCCCCAGCTGCATCCCCTCGTCGGCACCCAGAGTTCCTGAAGGGCAGACCATGCGGGGTCTGGCACATCACTGCTCTATGCCGTCTGCCAAGGAAGCGATTTTGCATTGAAGGTTTTAAAGGCTGAGGGCGATGGAAGCCAAAGGGGACAGCAGACATTTCCTGTTGCCGAAAGCATCCATTTTTTCCCAACTCCATCTCCGAGTATCACTTAGCAACCAGCCACACTGGGTTGCCCCACAGCTCCTGAGTTTGCATGTGACAAGTTACTTAATGGCTCTGAGATCTGTCTGAAGGACAGACCACCACCTTCACAATTAGGTCCTGAGGACTAGTGCTGAAAGATGGGAGGAAACAAATGCAGAAAGCACCGAATAAAGTCGGGGTCCGCTCCAGCCGTGACCCCAGGCGATGGAAGGCTGTGCCTTGGCAGTGTGCTCCCAGAGCTCTCAGCTTGTGCAGCAGTCTCTGGCTGCAGCTTACCTTCCCCAGTGCGCAGCACCCACCCCTGGTGACCAGTCTCCCTGACCACACTTCCTCTGTCCTCTTCCCTTCCGCTCTCAGCTCACAGCTACAGGCAGGCGTCCCCTGGGCGCGGTCCTCCTACTCACTCCCAAGGCTTGGATCAGCTTCTCCATGAAGAGGACTCCATGACCTCTGTCAGGTTCAAATGCAAGATCGCCAACTCAAAGCTTCCAGACAGACACTTCTCACCTCAGCTAACAGCACAACCAAGCACGCCTGGCTTGGATTTCTCCTTTCTCACTCCTCCTCTTTCCCCATCCTTCCAGAGCACATCACATTGATCCCCAGGGGTTCCTCTTCCTCGTGGACTTGTGAAGCCCGTATCTGCCAGTCTCCTCTCTGGTCCTTCTGCTCCATCTCAGTGGCTCCTAGCCCTTCTGGGACAGGAGATCCCTCTGAAAATCAATGAAATGCTCCATCCATTGAAAGGATTAAAACAATAAATGCTTGTAAGACCCAATACGAGTGTACTTATTTAGAGTATGTTCACCTACTCCAAGGTTTAAAAAACAAACAAATCATCTATACACATTCTCATCTCCAGCTCATTATAAACCCCCAGATGCCCACCCAAACCACAAGGCCCAACTCTGCTATGGCAAACACAGAAGGGACTCGAACTCCAATAAACTGGGCCTGGCATGACAGCCTAGTGGCTAAGATTCTTGTCTTGCACGCCTGAGATCCTGTATGGGTGTTAGTAGTTTGTGTCCCGGCTGCTCTACTTCCCAACCAGCTTCCTGTTTGTGGCCTGGGAAAGTAGTTGAGTACAGCCCAAAGCCTTGGGACCCTGACCCGAGTGGAAGAGCTGGAGGAAGCTCCTGGTTCCTGGCTTTGGATCAGCTCAGCTTTGGCCATTGTAGCCACTTGGGAAGTGAATCAACAGACAGAAGATCTTCCTCTCTGTCTCTCCTTCTCTGTGTAAAATCTGCCTTTCCAATAAATAAATAAATAAATAAATAAATAAAATTCAATAAACCTACAGCAGGCTAATTTTTAAGTTGATAATTTCACACAGCCCTAGAAAGATGTTGTAAATATCCAAACGGCACTTGACAGAAAAAGCGGGGGGGCGGGGGGGAGTTTGTTCCCCACCCCGATCATCCAGGCCATCAAAAATTTAAGTCCAGACCAGTACTTACCACTTCTCCCTGACAAACCTACTTTGCCCACAGCCTCCCTTGATAAAGACACCACATCCTCCCAGGCTTCCTGGATGAACAGCTGTGCTCACACCCAATCACTCAGCGAAACCTGTCTCTTCCCATCTCAGAAATACCCCCTCTAATGCTGACTCTAGGGGCTGGTGCTATGGTGTATTGGGTATGCGGGGCTGGTTCCAGTTCTGGCTACTCCACTCTTGATTCAACTCCAGGGCAGCCGAAGTACCTGGGAAAGCAGCGGAGGATAGTTCAACTGCTTGAGCACTGGGGAGACTCGGATGAAGCTGCTGGCTTCAGATCAGTCCAGCTCTTTGAGGGGAATGAACCAACAGATGCAAGAACATTCTAAGTCCATCTTTCAAACACATGCAACCTTTTAGGCAAACAGCAATCCCAGGGGCAGGAGTTGACAGAGCAGTGAGGATGCCGTTCAGGACAACTGCCCCTCATTCGGGTGCCTGGTTCAGGCCCCCTGCCTGTGATCCCAGCTGGGAGACCCAGTGGCAGTCACGGGCTCCTGGCTTCAGCCTGGACCAGGCCTGGCTGTTGCAGGAGTTTGGGGAGTCAATCAGTGGAGGAAAGCCCTCAGGGGTCTCTCTTCCAGCCTTTCTGATAAACCAGAATAATAAATCGAGGAGATACCCGTTCTGTCATTCTCCCAGGTCTCACATCTTTGCCTCATCCTCCATTCGTGCTCCTGCCTGCCACGATGGGACCTCCCCCCGCCACTCTTCCAGCAACGGCCCTTGCTGCTGATTCTCCACACAGCCCCTCAGCCCTGGAAGGCCGCCACAGCCTCACAGACCCCACCACTCCAGTCGCTGCTCTTCCTGTCGTTCCCACCACTTAAGCCATCTTTTCCAAAAATTCAAAATTGACAAACTGACTGCCTCTTTCAAAAACATTCTTACTTCCCCCACAGCACACACACATTGCTAAATGTGGGGTTTGGAGAGTCCCCGAGGGTTCGCCACCCAAGTGCTTTTCCAGGATTAGATTCTACAGCTCAAGCTGTCACTTGCTTCTATTATCTGCCTGTCCAACTCACACCCACTCTTACAGGCCCAGCTCAAGCCTCGCTCTTCATCTCTACAGCTTCCACACAGCGGTTAGAAAGGGGCTCCGACCAAAACAAAATCCAGAGGAACTTGTTCAAAAACTGGAAAAAAAAAATCTGTAAAACATTAACAAACTTCTGAGTCTTTACAGTAGTGTTTAAAATATTGCTATTCAAAATATTAGTATTTTGATCATAAATCTTCATTCTCCAACACTTATTGATCAGATGCTAATGAATGTGACATACAGAAGATCCAGTCAACACGAGGTCACACCATTACCCTGAAGAGAAAAGGTTATAACCTGGACTCCCAGGATTCAAACATCTCTTACATTTTATTTAGAAAGGGAAAATTGCAGTCAGAGTACTCGGCACTTGAACGGAGGTCAGATAAGTCCATAAGCAGTGACAGACACAGTTCCCTAATCTACATCATTTTCAGATCGGTTCAGCAAGTTTCTTATCAGCTAAGGGAAAAGCATTCTTTCCACTGATCTGTCTTGAAAAGATTTTTCTTCAGTCCCTATTTTAGATCTACTTTTTTAAAGGCAGGGGTCAGAGGACACAGGCAATCCTGAGCCTCTGCTAAGGAGACCCAGCTTCTGGTGGACTTGGCACGGGTGCCACAGCATGAGAGGGATGACAGAGAAGGGACACCCTGGCAGGACTTTCTCCCAGCTAGTCCGAAGGGCCGGATTTCTTTCAAGTCTGACCTGAGTTTTTAAGTTCTCCTTTGGCTTCTAAGCTGTGGACACCTGTCATTCTGTATCCGAGAGAGCATTTGCTCCTTATGGAGTCAAGCAGTCTTTTAAAAACGCACCCTATATTCCTACCGAGCTACGGTAACTGATAAAACATGCCCTTCAAGGCATTTCCAAAATCACCTTCATCTAAATTTGTTTGCATTCTTGAAACACACTTGCACACGGCTCTAAAATGCATTCAAATGCTGGAATTATTGCTGACTCTGTTGAAGGGTGTCCTGAACAGTGCCAGGGCATACAGGATCTCAAACTTTGGTCTCGCTCTCAAGTCTCACACCTTCACTCTGGGACCTCGGAAACAAGGCTTGCACCTGGAAGCACTTCCCCATCGTAACAGAGGGCAAAGGCCATGTTCTCCTCTCTCGTGGTGGCTGTTCAAACAAAATCAAAGCACAGCTTGCAGCAGAGCACTCAGCATGAAACATTCCATAACTGAGCTTACTTCGTTCAACACAAAAGATACTAAGACTCAGGCAGAAGAGCATCCGCTCCTGCCAGTCATCAGCACCAAACAGCAGTCGGCCCGTACAGCTAACACAAACGATACCATCACCATCACTCCATGAATGTTTCAGGGGGATGTGGAGCAACAGGAGGGGAGCCTGCAGGTGACGGCAAAAAAAAAAAAACATCACTTCACTAAAGCTGCAGTACACTGACCGCTAAAACACTAAGAGGGGAAAGGCACCGTCATTAGCCTAAAACGCCTTGGCAGCCTTCACACTGGGTAAGAGAACAGAGCGCGCTTGAGATTGGGGGAGGGTCGGACGAGGCCCAATCCCAAGCAGATCTTTCAGAAACCCAAAGGGATGCTTGCTGCATCTATCTGAAACGCGCACACTGAGATTGATTCGCACCCATTAAAAATAAATAAATAAAAACTTCAAGGCAGAAATCCTCCACCCAATTCCCCCACCCCCTTGTCGCTGACATTGCTTTTTGGAAAACCTGTGCTGCAGCACCAGCAACCCTCTCCAAGACAACGAACCAAAGCAGTCGCGGTGGAGAGGGCTGCCAGAGACTTAATCATCCCGGGGTTCCCCGCACACCCGCCGCCACTAGGCGATCATCTAATGGAATGTGTGGTTCGACCATCACACGCCAAAGACAAGGCCAGGATGTTGGCAAACTGGGGCGCGAGGGACGCTTCCTTTGCTTTCCCGGGGCAGGGGGATGGGGAACTGGGGAGGGTCTGGCCTTGAAACCCAGCCAGAACAAGCCAGTGCAGGCATCCCCTGCACCCCGAGCCTCCGCCCCCTGCAACCTCTCCCTTAGCAGGCAGCGAGGACCGGCCCGGGACGAGCTCCCGAGCAGCAGCAGCAGCAGCAGCAGCAGCAGTTAGCGGCACCTAGACCTCGGGCCTCGGGCTTCGGGGCGCGCCGACCTGCGACCGAACCCCGGGACCAGGGCGGCTGCTGCAGCCCCCGGGCGGTGCAGCGGGCCGGGCCTGCGGACGGGGCGCCGACACTCACCACACCATGCCGTAGGCACCCTCGCCGATGTACGAGAGGTTGGTGTAGCGCGGCCCCACGTCGAACACCTGCCCGCGGACCATCTCCGGGCCCGCGCCCGCCGCCGCCGCCGCCATGTTGGCTGCCGGGCCGCCTCCGCCTCGCTGGGCTCGTCGCTCCGCGGCCGCCGCTCCACTCCCGCCGCGCCTCCCGGAAGGACCGAGTCGCCGCCCGCGCAGCAGCCGCTGCCGCCGACCGGGACACGGGGCAGAAGCGCGTCCGCTCAGCAGAAGGCCGAGAGCTCGCGGCGGCGGCGGCGCTCGGAACCACTGCCTGTCTGACTGACGGGCGGGCCGGCGGGCGGAGGGAGGGGCGCGCCGAGGAGGGCGCCGGGGCGGGGCCAAGAAGCGTGCGTCCCCATTGGCTGCCCGCGGTGAGGGGCGGGGCCTCGCGGGGCTGGCGGAAGCGGCGAGCTGAGGGCGGAGCACTGCGGCGGTGGCGCCGGAGGGCGCGGTCACGTGCGTCCGCGGGTGAGGCGGCTGTGGAGACGCTGAGGGAGAGCGAGCGGTCGGGCGCGGACTCGCCGGGGGCGGGGCATCTGAGAGAATCGGGGTGAAGCGAGTTCGAGACCCGGTCCTAACAGATCCTCACTTGGTGTGAGGAGGAACGCCAGCTGCAGGCACGGGCTTCGGGCCTGTGGGGTCTGTGGCCCAAACTGTAGGAGACTAAATCAGAAACCAGAAATAGTGCATCGGGCCAGGGAAGGTGGGAAACCAAAATGTGAAAATCAAAACGAGAGAAAAGGGGTGGATCTTCTCACCCGAAATCAACTCAGCCAGTATTGCGTATGGGTGGGGCATGTTCTTACAAAGGTATCTTCTAGACACAGACATTATATACTCAAGCTCAGTTATATACTTCATACATCTATGAAGAGATGTAAAGCCGAGAAAAGGGCTTAGAGATGTAGGGGTTGAGACTCTTGAGCAAGACCTTGATGTTCTAGAACATGACCCCCGGATTAGGACAATGGACACAAGCTTGGACAAAGGATATACTGAAATAGGAACCCAAACAAACAAAAACAAAAACGGAATCGCCGAAACTGCAACATCAAGATTTAGAGAAACCGACACAGACACTCTGGGGCTCAAAAATAACCAGTCTGGGCTGCTCCACTTCCCACTTGTGTCTCAGTTTCCTCAGACTCCACAGCGGGTATAACAGTAGTACCCACCTCACAAGCAGGTTGCTCAGAGTAAATGCTACATTATGTACACGGTAAATATTATCTGTTATTGTTATCTACCCCGCCCAAACCTGTTCCACATCTTGAATCTGTGGATAGCATCGCCTTCACCCAGATACTCACGCTGAAGTTAGGCCTTGATCCTCAATAACGTTTTATCTTCCTCCTGACAACCCATACAATCACAAACTCCTGTGATTTCTTTCATTTTTGAGGAATCTTTACAACTCAAAGCATGATCTCCAGAATAGCACCATCAGCTTGTCTGGGAGTTCGTTGGAAATGCAGCCTCCTAGATCCGGCATTGTGGCACTGTAGGTAAGGATGCCCCATGCTACTCCAGCATCCTATGTGAGTGCCAGTTCATGTCCTGGCTGCTCCATTTTATTTTTTATAAAGTTTATTTTTTGATAATTTTTACATATTTGACTAGGGTGCAAAGGGTCAAGGGCTAGAGGAAAGTGGGTGAGACCATTGTTTTCACATTCTCGCTTTTCCTTACTATATCTAGGGGGAGAGGAGAAATGAGGGCAGAGGCCATACCCAGCCTCCCAACCAAACCAGGGTCCCCAATGCGGGGCATGCTCTGAGGATCCTGCTCAAGTGGTTTTGATAATTCAACAATTCTATATTCCTGCCGATCTTGCCACTCTTACCCCATTGAAATCGCTCTAGAATCCATTGACTGACAGTCCACCTTAGAGTCTCTGTTTGTCCAGGTATTCACTGCCAACTCTTGGCCGGGGTAGTTGATTGGTTTGTTCTGTCCTCCATCCTCTGTCATGATACCAAGTGTCCTCTGCAGGCTCCATTGTACTACCATATCTTTCATGTGCGTCTGGATATGCCGTCCACTATTCCATCTAAGCCACTGAGGATGCATGCTCTCCACAATCAAACAATGGAACCTGTAATTCTCTTCATGGTTGGAGCTCTGAGTTCTGTGGTTCAGTTGGGGGGATTCCCAAAGACACCTCATCTGAGGTGATCCCAAGCCTGGTTCTTGTGTGTATATGCCAGGACAGGGTCTGGCACAATCTGTCGTCCAAATCAACCTACACACACACTGGTAGTTGGAATGGTTGGGTCAGTTCTGTCTCCAGCCCTATCTTCTATGCAATCTAGTGGGTATTGCAGTCCAGCCTAATCTTACCCACTGCACATTTGACCCTCACACAAACCAGTAGGGGTTGTAGCCTAATAGGAGTGACCTGCAATAACCCCCACCGGGCCTGCTCCCTACCCTAGTTTCTGTGTTTGCCAGCATGTACAGCAGACTGGCCCAGTCTGTCTCATTATGCTCTTGTACATGTCAATGGGCACTGAAGCCTAGATCACTCCAGCCAGCCTCACTTTCCAGTAGGTGCCAGTGGTCTCCACTCTCTGTCAAGCCATGCCTACCCCTAGTCCTAGCTTCCATGCTCACCAGTGATAGATGCAGCCCATCAGAAAGCTGCCCACTATTTCCCTCACGGGCTCACTCTCACTCATGGATCTTGCATTCTCCAGGTGGTTCTGCAGTTTAGCTTGCTGAACTAGCTAACGCTGCAACAAAGTGCAACCAACCCACACCCACTCTGGCGTATACATGTACCAGTAGGTACAGTCCGCCCAGCCTGGCTTTCTCCCAATCCAACTTACATGCAGGCCAACTGGTGTTGTATCCCTGCCCAACCTGGCCTGCCCCCAATCCCAGCTCTCACACTTTCTGGTAGGAATAGTGGCCAGGAAGAGGAGTCCCCCGTAGCTTCCCTACTGGGTTCACCTGCTCTCCCCTCTGGGTCTCATGTGTGCTAGTTGGGTGCTATGGCCCAGTCTGGCATGGCCAGTCTCACCTTGGCATTTGCCAGTGGGTGCTGTAGCCTGGCCTGGCCCGGCCAGTACCCAATTCCAGCTCATGCTGGTGGGGACTATAGCCTAACCAGCCTAGTCAGCCCACAGTCCCGGTCCTAAGGTGAACTGGCTGGTATTGTGACCCAAGCCAGCATGACCCACACACCATTCTGGCTCTCAGATTTACCACTGGCTGCTCCACTTCTAATCCAGCTCCCTGCTGATGGCCTGGGAAAGGTGATGGAAGACGGTCTATTTATGTCTCTGTCACCCACGTGGAAGACCAGGTTGAAGCTCTTGGGTTCTTTGTCTCCTCCTCTGAATTTCAAATAAATAAATATGTCTTAAAAATGAAAAGGGAAGATGTCTATTCGCTTCTCCTTTCAAGAGGCACCCCACCTGGAAGACATTCCTGGCTACCAGCTTCAAACCATTGCACCCATTTGGGGATGGAGGAGATGGTGAATCAGCAGGTGGAAGATCTCTCTGTCACTCTATATCATTCTGCCTTTCAAATGAAAGCAAGCTTTTAAAAAGATGGTATTTAGCCTCATTAGTCTCTGCTGAGTCAAGCTGGCATGAGCCAGGCTCAAAGTGAACAATCATCTTAAGTATGCTGGCAGCAACATATTTCTGGAAGCATGAAGCTAAGAACATTCTAGAACACTGTGAACCCATACCAGCCTCTACCTAAGACCTGCTCGGAAAGCCAGCTGCCCATCTAGATGTTTTCCTTATTGTGTGACAATCACAGATAAACAAAACATTACAAAACTGGGATTTTGATCCAGGTAATGTCTAAAGAACAAAAAAGTAAACTCCGGCATGATAGCCTGGTGGCTAAAGTCCTCACCTTGAACGTGCCAGGATTCCATATGGCTGCCAGTTTGTGTTCTAACTGCCCCCCTTACCATCCAGCTCCCTGCCTGTGGCCTGGAAAAGCAGTTGAGGACGGCCCAAAGCCTTGGGACCCTGTGCCCGTGTGGGAGACCCAGAAGAAGTTCCTGGCTCCTGGCTTCACATTGGCTCAGATCCAGCTATTGTGGCCACGTGGGGGGAGTGAATCAGTGGACGGAGAGCTTTCTCTGTCTCTCATTCTTTCTGTATATTTGAGTATCCAATTAAAATAAATGAATCATTTAAGAGAGAGAGAGAAAGAGCGTGACCAGGGTGTAGAGGAGCCTGGCGGCAACGTCTATCCAACGCATGGGGATTAACCTGTTGTACCACAACATCATGGTAAGACGAGCAAGCCTGACAGAGAGCACTCTCTCTGACCACAAAGCCACTGCTGTAATAACCCATTATGTCACAAATCTTGGTGATCCATTTACCTGACCCCATCCACTGCCCAAGGTCTCACCTCTCAAATACCATTAACATGTAGCTTTGGATATTTCAATTTGCAAGATGTGATCTTTGCAAGACAAAAATCTGAGCAACACATTTAAAATCCTAGCTAAACGTACTTCTGCTCTTTTGCCTTGTGCAACACAACTAGATTTTTGTAGCAGGGTCTTGATCCCTCTGCACTTGGACACGACTTTAAAAGTGGTGACTCTACACCACTCCACTCCCTTAAGTTCCAGGACTCAGCATGTGGCTCATGGCTCTAAGCAGCAGCACAGCCTGATGGTTTAAAAGATGGACAGGTGGCCTGATAGGCCACTGACACTGTTAGCTCAGAGTCTAGAAGGTAACGGTATTCCTGCTCTGCTGGAGTGATAGGGTAGGGATGTGAATCTGAGAATGCCCTGGAGACGGTTAAACCAGAGTTAGATGCCACAGGGGGAGGCTGCCTTCCGTTGAAGCTCTATAGATTCCTATGTCAATATCCTATAAATTATTGTCAATACAGGTTATATGTCAATATCCTCTTTTTTTTTCACTTGAGTCTTTCGGACTTATTTTTCTGCCACTTTGAAATCATGAGCGTTCTGATGAATGCTTTCCCAGATAAATTCCCTTTTTCTGCAAAAATGGCTCTGAACTATACAATAAATTACTGAGACATGAATCAGAAACTCATGAATGATGAAAAGAGAAAAGGAACTGGCAATGAGCCTTGAAACTTGCTAAAGATAGAGAGCTGAATAAAACCACCTTTCAGCAGAGGATGCCTGATACTGATAAGGTGAAATAATTTGCTGTTGCTATGGCAACACACAAACTGCATAAGAGAAAACTGAGAAAGGAGATTTTTTTTTAAATAA